CCCTCAAGATCTGGCGTCACTATTTGTATGGGGTTCGGTGTACCATATACACGGACCACAAGAGCTTGAAGTATTTGATGGATCAGCCCAATCTGAACATGCGTCAGGGAGATGGTGGATTGGTGGTAAAGGATTATGATTGTGAGATCCTGTACCACCCGGGCAAAGCTAATGTGGTAGCCGATGCGCTGAGCCGTAGGGCGGAGAGTGCCCCGATTCGAGGCACTTGTATGAGGTTGACAGTGATGACCCCGGTGTTGGACACCATTCGGGAGGCCCAGGCAGAGGCCGTGATACCGGAGAACCGCAAGAGGGAGCGGGTGATCGGGCAGGTGCCCGAGTTCGTTACCGATAGTCGAGGGCTGATGACCTTTCAGGGTCGGATTTGGGTGCCGTATGCAGGCGGGGCACGTACCATTCTGATGGAGGAGGCGCATAGATCGAGGTTCTCGATCCATCCCGGGGCCACGAAGATGTATTTGGACCTGAAGAAAGATTATGGTGGCCCTGTATGAAGAGGGATGTCGCGTGGTTGTTGAGAGGTGCTTGACCTGTCGCAGGGTTAAGGCCGAGCACCAGCGTCCGCATGGCAAGTTGCAGCCGCTTGAGGTTCCCCAGTGGAAGTGGGAACAGATTTCCATGGATTTCATCACCAAATTGCCAAGGACCGCAAGGGGGTGTCGATGCAATTTGGGTGATCGTCGACCGGCTGACGAAGAGCGCGCATTTTCTTGCTATCAGTGAGAGCTCTTCTGCTGAGAGGTTGGCAGAGTTGTATGTGAGAGAGGTGGTATCGCGTCATGGAGTACCGATCTCGATTGTGTCTGATCGAGATGTACGTTTCACTTCCAGGTTCTGGAAGAAGTTCCACGAGGAGTTGGGTACGAGATTGCATTTCAGTACCGCCTACCACCCACAGACGGACGGGCAGAGTGAGCGGACGATTCAGACGCTCGAGGACATGCTTCGAGCATGTGTGTTGGACTTCGGGGGAAGTTGGGACACGTACTTGCCGTTGGCTGAGTTCTCCTACAACAACAACCACCATTCTAGTATTGGCATGCCTCCCTTCGAGTTGTTGTATGGGAGGAGGTGTCGGACTCCCATTTGTTGGGGAGAGGTGGGGCAGCGGTGATGGGTAGCACTGAGATAGTGCTTCAGACGACAGAGCAGATACAGCAGGTTAGACAGAGGTTACTGACGGCTCAGAGTCGTCAGAAAGTTATGCGGATCGGCGACGATCCGAGCTGGAGTTCCAGGTGGGAGACTTCGTCTCCTGAAAGTATCTCCTTGGAAAGGAGTGATCCGATTCAGGAAGAGGGGCAAGCTGGGGCCCCGGTACATCGGTCCATTCAGGGTGACCGCGAGGGTGGGCAAGGTAGCTATCGGTTAGAGCTACCTGCGGAGTTGAGCCAGATTCATGATACCTTCCACGTGTCCCAGTTGAGGAAGTGTATAGCCGACGAGTCGGCGATGTTACCACTGGAGGATTTCAGGTGGATGCGAGCCTGAATTATGCGGAGAGGCCAATCGCGATCTGGGATCAGAAGATCAAGGTTCTGAGGAACAAGGAGGTGTCACTGGTGCAGGTCCAGTGGCAACATCGGAAAGGTCGAGCTGACCTGGGAGCCGGAGGGAGATGCGGGAGCAGCATCCGGAGTTGTTTGTCGAGCAGGACTTCGAGGGCGAAGTCTGATCCTAGTGGGGGAGAATTGTAACATCCGGATTCCCAGGTATCCTATTTTAAGTATTTTATATTGAGTTTTAGAGGGGGGACTCGGCGAGTAGGCGCCCAGACTCGCCGAGTTGGATCGCGATGTGTTGGCCTGATTAATGAAGGGGACTCAGCGAGTCACGCTGTTTAATGAAACCCTAATTCCTCGGGTTTGGGACCTATTTAAGGACCCTTATAGCCACCATTTGCGGCTACCAGACCCTTGAGAGAAACCCTAATAGTGCTTGAGCGTTTGAGAGAGAGAAGAAGCCATTATTGGACCTTTGTGGGTGGTTTTGCTAGAAGAAGTTGATTCCAGCTTAGAGGAGGCCAAGGAGGTTGCTCATCTGTGGTTTTCAAGCAAAGGGCATCATCTTTGAGGTAGCATATCGATCCTTTTCTGTTTTGTTAAGAATCCATGGATTTAGGGTTTTCTATACCCTTTATTGGATGATTTGTTGGAGATATGGTCCCTTATCATGTTTAAGCTTCAGATCTGGACCCATAGTGGTCCAGAGAACCTTATCCATCTTGCTTTTTGATGAGATATGAAAGATATGAACTTAGGATGTTGTATTTGGGGCTAAATCATCAAGTAGAGTCATTTGACGTTGCATGAGTATCAAGTTCGAACCTTTACGTGTTTATTGAGCTTGGGAAGGTTAGATCTATGGAAGAGGAACAAATCTGACCTCAGAAGGTCATTTGAGTGTGAGCATGGAATGAACTCGCCGAGTCCATGAGCAGACTCGACGAGTCGAGTCGGGTTGCCCCGCGACTCGCGACCTGTGACGACCCGTGGAGTATAAGGTTGACTCAGCGAGTCAAGGGAGGATTCAGGGGCGTAGAGGGCAGGCGTGTACTCGCCGAGTCACCCTAGTGCACTCGGCGAGTCGGGTCAAAGTTGACCGTTGACTTTCGTTGACCTTAGGGTTCTGGTCAAGGCTGATTCAGGAGGGTTCAGGGAAGGGTAGAATGGCCTTCTACCTAGTCTGTAGAGATGAGATCATGAGAGAGTATTGATCGGGAATGTTATTTGAATAATAGGAGGAGGCTAAGTCGGGACGTTGAGCACGAGAGGTTATCCGACTTCATTGAGGTGAGTCTTCTCACTATACTGTACCTGGAAGGGTACCTATGTGTGACCGGAAGGTCTTGTATGCTATGATGTATGTGCTATATGCGGTTATGTGATATGTAGGTGTTATGTATGCTATGAATGATAAGGACCGGAAGGTCAAGATGATATGTATGTATGTACTATGTATGTTACGTATGGTAAGGACCGGAAGGTCGAGATGATATGGACCGGAAGGTCAAGAGGGTACGGACCGGAAGGTCTACCGGGATTTGGGACGGAAGTCCTCTGAGACACATGGATCGGAAGATCCTACAGAGTTGTGGCCTGGAAAGGCGTATGTTGGGTATGTGGTATTTAGTCACTAAGTTTTCTAATTTTTTACAAGGTTGACATTTTGATCGGTTAACCCGGTTACCTGCTGACATGACATGCTGATGTCAGTCTTTTGGTGACGTGACATTTGACACTATTTGGTTATGTGGCACTGGGCTGACATGATGACGTGTTGAGTGAAAAAAATGACACAAAAGATACTAAGTTTTCATTTTTTCAATATTGACACTAAGTTTCCATTTTTTTCAATTTTTAACGCTATTTTTTTTGCTCAAAATTGAACATTATTTTTACATTTTCATTTAATATTGACCGTTTTCTACTTGAAACGGTATAAATACATATTTTACGTTTAAAATCCATATTTTTGTATAAATACAAGTTTATTTTTACATTTAAACCGTAATGTCAAGTTTAAATATATATTATTTATATTATGACCATGCTTTTCACTATTTACCCAATTTTAATGTAAACATTCTTTGTTTTAGTTATTAGTTGGTTAATCTATTTGGAAATTGTACAATTTAAATGTACAATTTAAATGTCAAATTATAATATTTAAGATAACAATTCATATTTCATTTAGCATATGTGGTGTGACTTTGTCTTTTTCTTATTTATTATTATTATTAAATTGTTTGATTTCTCTTTTTTTTAATTCGTATTTAAATTCTAGAAAAAATGTTAGCGATTTTAATTATAACTTTGATATTTTGAAGGATCGTTTGTGAATTTTTTTTCTAAAATTTGTTATTTTGACCATAATGCATGGAGTAACACGAAACCATATTTGGGATAACCCAATAAAATTTAATTTGGATTTCATACCAAATGTAAATTCAGAAACACATAATACATTGTTTTGTTTGATGTTCTATGAGTGAAGATTTTTAAATATTAATGTTAAGTAAAGAAGAAGTATGTTTGTAAGAACAAAAAATCATGAATATATATAACGAAGAATCCTTTGGTAATTTTTTTTAGAACGGCGACATTAAATAAAGGCTGGCAAACGCTAGAACAACTTAAGTGATTAAAAAGGAATGATTTTGCACCCAAGAAGTCCACTTAACTCTAAACTTAGGAAATCTAGAGCTAATCCTAAAGAAAGATTGAGATTGAATAAAATCTCACATAACCACTTTAAGAGGTTTAAATTTCGCAAACAAAATCTTCTTACGAAATGCCCATAACGCCCAAAACATGGAAAGAAGAACCGCATCTAGACATCTTTTCACTTGGATAGACAACCGAGCGGAATTAATCCAAGATAACCACTCAGGAATGGAAGAGAAAATTGGCAAGTCCAACTCTCACCACTATGCAAGAAGACTCAACAGATCCAATGTCATCCCGCAAGAAAATAAAAGATGATCGACAGTTTCAACATCAGAATCACAGATGAGACAAATCTCATAATCAATATAAATGTCATGTTTGTCTGGATTAACTCTAGCACGATCCATATTCAAATTTAACCTCCAAAATAGAATATTGACTTTGGAAGGGATTAAAGAGTTCCATCTAGTCGGTTGAGAAGAAGACTTTGAATTTAGAGTCAATTAGAACCCGGGCTGAAGCTTAACACGTTAACAGGTACCCAAGTTAACCGGTTAAATGTTGAACATTCAAAAAACTTAGTGACTAAATTGAAACAAAAAATAACGGATTGTCAAAATTGAATTTTTTTATGAATAACGGATTGTCAAAATTGAATTTTTTTATGAATACATAATAATTTTTGTGCAATTTATCTTTTGTAAAAACATAATAAACATTTTTTATTTTTATTGTATTTAACTTTTTAACATTTTGAAGTCGCGTTGAAGGAAGGCCAGTTAAAACCAATTTGATCATCAACAGATGAAACGAATAAGAACGCAACAATAGCAAGCTTTTGGTTTTCAGATTTATTATTCCGAAATCACGTATTGATCTTCGCTTTTTGCATTTTACGTCTTCAAATTCAGTTTCAAATAGTTACTTCTCTCAATTTTGAAGACTTCAAAGGTAATACTTGAAGAAGAAGAAGAAGATGGAGAAATTGAGGAATATATTAATGCCGAAACCTAATCCGCAACAGTTATTACGCGATTGGCAACGTCGTCTCCGGCAAGAGTGTCGCAATATCGAACGTCAAATTCGTGGTAAATCAATTTCCTCCATCTCGTTTGTAGCAATCGCTTTCTTCTTCTATAAAACCTAAAACTGTTTATTCGATTACTGCATCGATTTTGTTTTGATTTTTTTGGGGGTTTTGTTTTAGATATACAACGAGAAGAGAAAAATGTTCAGAAAGCAATCCGAGAAGCTGCGAAAAGAAATGATATGGGCTCTGCTAGGGTATTAACTTAGCACTTGATTACTTCCAATTTTACGAATTAGGATCTGTAATCATGGAAAAAGTTAATCTTTTCTAGGCACTTGCTATGGAAATTGTGAGATCTAGAAAAACTGTGAATCGGCTCTACGAAAATAAAGCTCAATTAAATTCCATATCAATGCATCTAGGAGAAAGTGTTGGTATGTGATTATTACTTTCTTTTATCATCATCACTAATGTATTTAGAATCGATTAATTTCTAAGCGTTGAGATTTTGCAGCTATTGCTCGAACAGTAGGGCATCTATCAAAAAGTGCTGAAGTCATGAAGATTGTTAACGACCTAATGAGAGCTCCACAAATGGCTGTCACGATGCAAGAATTCAACAAAGAAATGATCAAAGCTGGAGTGATTGAAGAGATGGTGAATGATGCTGTTGATTCTGCATTGGATACAGATGACATGGAAGGTGAGATTGAAGAAGAGGTTGATAAGGTGTTAACCTCCATAGCCGGTGAGACTGCTGCACAGCTTCCAGAAGCCGCCAGGAAGGAGCGGCTGAAGCAACCTGCCACTATCGCTCAGGTATAACCCAACCCCCCCCCCCCCCCCCCCCCCCCCCCCCCCCCCCCCCCCCTGTTTTAATCTTTGTTTAAGAGATTAACTTTTGATTTGGATTTGTAGGATGATGGTGTTGATGATGAGGAATTAGAAGAAATCAGGGCTCGCCTTGCCAAAGTTCGGTCGTGATGGACCTGAGAGTTTGGGAATTTTTAGCAGAAAAGCTGATAGCTGGTAGAGGGAGCCAGAGAAGTTGATAGATATAAAACCTTTTTTAAAATGAAAAAATGTTACACAAACCTCAAATAAGGATGAAAATTGCAAAAATCGGCTACATTAGGAGACCAAAAATGTAATTTACTCTTTTGTTTATTAATACTTGAGTTTGGGTGTAGTAGAAATGGAGTTTATGTAAAGATTATGAGAATATGTAATTAAGAAATATAGGTTTGCTATTTATGCTGTGAACTGGTTGGGTATCTATTTTTTTATTTTGTTATTATTATAAGGGATAATGACTTAAAAGGGTAATATATTTTTTCGATTTGTATGGTCACTGAGTTTTTTTTTCGTCTACATTTACCTCTTCAACTTGTTAAACTGTATACATTCAGTCCTTATGACCGGCTACTCCAGGTTACCCGGTAAAAATGACTTAATAGGGTAATATATTTCTCACTTTGTACACATTTAGTCTTTAATATTTTTGTACACATTTATTTATTTATTTTTTTTATTATTATTTTTTTTTTGGCAAAATAAGTCATTTTTTTTGTACTCATTCAGTACTTATGAATGATTTTTTAGTTTTTTCTCACAAAATCTTACGTGAGACATTCATTAATGAGGTGTATGGGGTTTTTGATGATTATATCCATCGCGATCTCGACTACTTGGTTGCATAGGTCATGTGTTCTGAACGTCATAACTTCTTCATATAATCTTGGATTTTAACGATCTTTATATCCATGCGTTCGTATTTTAGTCTACTACAACTTTCATTTAGATTACTCCCATTAAAAAATAATATATTTTTACTTACGATTTTTATATCCATACGCGGTGGCGGATTTAGTATGGTCCCGGTGTTGCACCGACAACACCTGTTTTTTCTGTTCGCAGTGAAAAAATTTTCGCTTTTTTTTACGTTTATACCTATTTTCCATGTATCGGCAACACCTATTTCATCTCGGCAACACCTACTATGTATTACTGCGTCTTCCCCTGTCTATACGTTTTTTATGAATGTATGTATGTATGTTTTTTTTATAAAATCGTTAGTAAAAATATATTACATTTTAACGAGAGTAATCTTAATGAAAGTTGTAGTAGACTCAAAAATGAACATGTGGATAAAGATCATTAAAATATGATATCGTATGAAGAAGTTACGATGTTCAAAATACAAGACCTAAGCCAAACCACAAGACTTACGCAACCAAGCAGTCGAGATCGCATTGGACATAAGCATCAACAACCCCAAGCACCTCATCAATGATTGTCTCACGTAAGATGTCGTGAAAAAAACCTAAAGAAATCATTCATAAGTACTGAATGAGTACAAAAAAGGATTTATTTTGAAACAAAAAATAATGTTAAAGACTAAATATGTACAAAAATATTAAGGACTAAATGTATACAAAATGAAAAATATATTACCCTATCAAGTCATTTTTTCCGGCTAACTTGGAGTAACAGGTCATAAAGACTAAATGTGTACAGTTTAACAAGTTTAAGGGGTAAATGTGGACGAAAAAAAAACTTAATGACTAAATGTGTACAAATCGAATAATATGTTACCGTTTTAAGTCATTATCCCTTGTTAGTTAGTACTATAAGTTAAATGTCTCAATTATTTCAAAACGAAAAAAACAGGATAAGATACTGTCGTAATGTTAAATGCTGATCAATTTATTAGATTGTATATAGATATTGTCGATACATAAAATTCATCAAGCGGGGATAGCTCAGTTGGGAGAGCGTCAGACTGAAGATCTGAAGGTCAGGTGTTCGATCCACCTTCACCGCATTGATATTTTTATATGTTTGTTTTTAAACAGACAAAATTTATGTTGAATCTTTTACCTTCTGTTTTTGTTATAAGAAAATCAATAAACATAGGTTTACCAACAAAACATTAATCGAGTGTAAAAGAAACTAATGGTATATGACTATATTCAACAATATATTTTTGAGAGTTTTTAACCTTTCTTTTTAGAAAACTTGGAATATATAAAAGGTTTTGTTTGGGATTATGAGCTTAAAATCTTTTTACTAAGAAAATATTCATAATCCAATAGAGCTATTTCAAACTTTTTTATATGAATTTTTATGTTGTAGTATTTTAATTAACTTTACACGATTCAAAAGCATTCAATGATTTTTGCCGAACATTTATATAAAAATAAAAAAACTATAACTTTCAATTTTGAGATAACCAGTAGTTTTACTAAATATACCTTAAATCGTAGAGCGAAAGTTTGATGGTTTTTATGTCATTAAGTTTTTATTTAGTTTGATCAATTTAGGTTATAAGTACACTTTGTTTTCATATTCATTATTAGTGTATTCTTTATTTTTTATAATTTATTTAATGTAACACTTTATAAATCTTATCATCTGTGATTGCTAGTGACTTCTGGCTTTATGGTGGTATCCTATCATTTTGTGTTGTGTGATAACTTTGGCTTTCGTATCATCACACCGGTTCAAACCGATTTAAGGTTACAGATAAAATATGAAAATGAGGCCTTCACTTATAGTAAATAAAATTATTAAAAGCTGTTTTTTTTATTTAAGAAATCCTTTGTTATAAATTTATCCATAGATCATTTTTTTTTAATAATATTAGTTATTCGGTTCTTTTTATTATTTCCTTCATCTCATTACCATATAAATATTTTGTAAGCAACATGTTACCGTTTTAAACTAATAAAACGATATCAACGATGAAAAAAACAAGTAAATGAAACGAAAACACTTAGTTGTGAACTTGTGATGTCAAATCATTTTCCACCAACAAAGATAAAGATTTCTAAATTGTTTTCTGGATTCCAGCAACTAAGATTTTCAAAACTTGTGATGTTGAGGTTTCAAGTTATCTATACAAAATAAGAAAGAAAGCACATAAATTATTTTTTTTACCAAAAAACTAACATCAGATTAACACGGATAATAAATTTGAAATCACAATCAGCGAGACTGGCTAAAATCAAATTAACACAAATACAAGGTCAATATTTTAAGGATGAGTGTAATCAGATTATTAGAATCGACGTATTAAGAAAAATTAAACTCATAAGGTTGCGTGAAAACCCCAAAATCGATTTATTATGAATCAATTTGTCTATTATCTTTAAAAATCAGAATTGATTCATAGAGTTATTCGATCGGTTGTGGTGAGAGACTTAATGCGGTGATTATTCCTGAAGAATCTCAAGCCCCCTAGTATTCTTCGTTGATTTTGTTTTTGTTCATTTTTCTTTCCTTTTTCCTCTTATCCTTTATACACAATATATCAGGGTTTTTTTATAATAACATAATAAGGTATATAAAAATAGGGCCCTAGAAATTTGGAGGTCATGATTGATCACCTAAACCGCCCCACCAATTGGCATGCCCCTGCAAATCCATTGGCTCGTATGTTTCCACTATAGCCTTCTTATCCCTGTTCCAGGTGAAATTTGCATTGCTCCAGGTTCTATGCACCAGTCTGTTGGTCTGGAGCCTCTACTTCCGTCGTAGTAAGTTTGTACTTTTTATTAATGACTTCCTCCGTCGTAGTAAGTTTGTACTTTTTTTAAATGAATATCATATTTAAGAATAGGCCGCATGTGAAGAATGACTTGTCTTTACTTGGGCAATTGAGAGATGCATCCATGAATCTAGTTAGATAGTCAAGGATGGATTCGCCTTCTCTTTGGCATCCTAATATGGCATGGTTGTGGATACTGCCGACTGCTAAGCTTTTGAACCAACATCGAACAAAGCCTTTTATTATGGTTTGAAAGTGTATACACTAAAACCTTTAACCAAGATTTAAGGATTACATGTGTACTTGGTAGGTTCCTGCATGATCAATTAGGTCTTCTGTTCATTCATAGTTTTTTAGGTGTGGTAGGCAAGTTTTAGTTAAGAGTATACATCATATAAGTCGCATGCGACTGGTGATGGATCTTTTGTATCTTGGTCTTGTACTTTAGAAGGATTGTTCGAGCCTTGCTTCGTTAGATTAGTTGTAGAATCCTTAAGCATGCCCAATGGTTCTTCCAAAAATCTCGCCCTAAAGCTTTAGTAAACAAATAAATTATCTATAAATGTTTTTACTCGTGGTTGATAGTAAAGTGGTGTTTCACCAACAATTGCGTTCATTCTGGGTATGGTTGATAGTGAAGTGGTGTTTTAAAATTGGTTCGTTGTGGGTATGGCTTGAGTTGTTGGTGTTGTTGCTACGTTTGGATTGAGGGGTAACGAAAGTGTTATAGGTGTTAATCATGGTAAGTTGGCCACTTTGGTGTTGAAATTTACCATTGGGTGGATGGGGCTTGGATTAGAATCACCCTTCTTCTTGTCACCTAGCTATGTTTCGTGATTATAGTAGTTATCATAACAAATGGTGCCCATGATGCAACAAAGTCATGGAGGGAGAGGTTTGAGATAATATGAAATGAAAGATATAGTCTCCTTTCTTGAATCAGATGCTCCAAGACCAGTTGATCACAATGAAAGGATTAGGTGTAACTATAATCTAGGGGTGTGTCCTGAGATTTTAATGCCGAAGTTATAGGGCCTTACTTCAGAGATTATGTAAGAGCTTTAGATAGAATATGGGAGTGAATTTTTACTTGATGATGTCTACTCTAAAAGAGGCATATATATTGTTGAGGAGGGGGAGAATGTATGTTATATTGTACCATTATTGTGCCTCGATTGTGAATGCTTTTTATAAGTGATCGTGAGTTGCGCACGGTCCTTTGCTAGAATCAGGCAGGATACTTTTGGCACCTTGATATTACATTGGGCTCAAGTGTGTCTTGACTTGGTTTTGTACTTTGCTTTGGCTATTAGAAAATTGCTTCTCGGGCTCTTGGTCCAGTTGAGGTGGTACACTTAAATATATATATATATATATATATATATATATATATATATTATATATATATATATATATCAAGGATATAAAAAACATTTGATGTTAACTAGTCGGACGATTGGGGTTAAAAGATTAATCGAGGATTAATGAGGCCCGATAAATTATTCAAATATTAATAGATCCTAAGAAATTACTAAATTCAAATATCTGAATATTGGAAACTTAAAAATTTAAACTATTTGGTGTAAAATTTTAAATTTTAAAATTAAATTTTTTTAAATTTTTCGTAAAATATTTGAAACTTTGAAATTTTAAAAATTTGGAAATTTTGGTTTAGTATTTGAAATTTTAAAATTTTGAATTTTTAACCGATTAGGCTGCCTGGGACCGATTATGAACGTCTAGCACTGACTTTGACCAACACCGATTAAGTTGGCCGGATAGTCCTAATCCTAATCGGTTCAAGGTTCTCTAACAATTAATCGACCGCCTAAACCGATTTTACAACACACACACGCACAAACACACACCACCACACACACACACACATATATATATATATATATATATATATATATATATATATATATATATATATATATATATATATATATATACTATCAACACTAATATGTTATGTTCCATGACATCTAAGAAAATTCGTCCGTTCGAAATTTCAATTGTTTTTTTTCTTATTTTCAAATAAAAGATCGAAAATTATAATAGTATTTGAAAATACTAGAAAAAGAAAAAAAATTTACTTAATGTCAGAAAAACAGACTTCTAAAAACCTAAAAAAGTTCGAGCAATCTGAAATTGTTTTTTTAACACGTTTTATGTAAAAATAAAAAAATTAATTAAACAAAACAGGTTTCGAAAAATTCGAATTCGAAAATCCTAATTTTTAGAATAGATGGTCATTAAACCTTTTCTTAAATATTATGATTATTTTACAATATATTCATTCGATCAAAAGTAATATTTTGGTTAATAACCCTTAATTTAATGTTACACCTTTCTTCAATAACCAAGATGAAGAAAAAGAAATATGAAAATACTTAAATACATAGAAATGGTTTATAGTTTTATAATGAAAGCATATTAATAATCAATAAACTAAACTGGGATATGACAATAATGTGTGGATTGATGCAGAAGAATAAAAGATCTGATCCAATATTATTGATATAGTTTTTGTTTAGATTCTCAATTATAGGGTTCGTTGTTTTTCATTTCTTCCTTCTTGATTGAGGCTCTCAATTATTAGGCTTTAAAAATTATGATTATTTTATAATATTCATTGGGTGGTATGTTGGTTAAAGAAAATTAGAGTGACACAAACATAATGACTAGTGCATTTTATTATATGACACTCATAATGATCCGTAATGAGTTTCACAATGAGTTTGAAGTGATAGTAACAATAGGAAAATATTTAATTAGTCCATATTTTCATTTTTAAAAATTAATAACAAATGTATTTATGTTGTTTATAATTAAAAAATATATGTTAACGTATATAAATATTCTTGTTAATATAATAATATACATTAATTCAAATGTAAAAAAAATCATAATATTTTGGTTATTGTTTAAAATTTGATTTGATGTGAAAACAATTTTGATTTGGTTTGATTTTTTAGTTTTTCTGGTCCAAACCAAATACTTCCTATCCGTAGGTTTTCCTTTATTCTATATAATTTATCAAATAATCATTACCTATCAAAGTTTTGACAAGTGTTATAAGTTCTAATTAATAGGATTAAATGGATTATATTTCTCAAGGGAAAATGAATTATATTTCTCGGGAAAATGATTTAAGTTTTTGGTTTGTACATTTTTTTTTTCAAATAAGCTCTTGAACTTCTTGTTTTTGTACATATTCAATCTTTATGACCGATTATTGTAGGTTAGGTTCTCAGTTTGTATACATTTAGTCTTTAATATTATCATTTTTTTGCAAAATAAGTCATTGTTGTTTTTATATACATGCAATCCTTATGATAAGTTTCTTCAGGTTTTGCTCACATGACATTCTATTTGGGACAATTATTAAAGAAGTGTTCTCATACATGGATCGTATGGGAAGTGGAATCATGTGTTTCTCGATTCGAGGCGGTTAAGACATACACATCTCCTTAGTCCTTGCGACATTATCCTAATCATTTTAGGGTTTTAGTATTTTGCGATTCAAGGTGGTTGAGACATGAAACCACCTCTTTAATAGTATCAAGCTCATCTTCAAGATTCGGGGTCACATTGAAAAGAACAAATAACCTATTTGCTGAAAAATGGCCAAACTAGGGCACCAACATTATAATAAAGCTAGGGCATAAGTAAGGGATAAACCACATATAAGAACACCTTATTATACTAAAGCCTACGACATATTCTTCTTAGAGAAAACTAGGGCACCAACATTATTTGACCAATATGTGAATTAGGTTACTGATATAAGTGAGGGATAAACCACATATAAGAACACCTTATTAATGATTGTCCCACGTAGGATGTCATATGAGCAAAACCTAAAAAAACTTGGTCATAAGGATTGAATGTATACAAAAACAATAAGGACTTATTTTGCAATAAAAAACATTAAAGACTAAATGTGTACAAAATGATAACTTAACATGGAGTTGTCGGTCATAACGTGAAATAGTCAATCATAAGGATTGAATGTGTACAAAACAATAAGTTAAAGTGCTTATTTTACAAGAAAAAACATTAAAGACTAAACGTGTACAAAACAAAAAAGATGTTACCCTATTAAATCATTTTTTCTTTTCTCAATATGGAGTACATAGACTCATGGTGGTTGTAGGAAATGATGTGTATTAAAAATTGTTCCTCTTTAAACTTATTTAAATTTCTCGAAGGGTCGAATTTTTTGGCTTATTTCAGAAATCAATTGCTATTTGATCAATAATAATAATCTTTCCCGTTCAAAATAAATAAAATAATGTAATTTTTTGAAATTTATAATTTTATAAATGTATGTAGTACACATAACAATATGGAAGAACAATGCTAACAAGATGTATGTTCTCTAAGAATGATAACAATATGAAAGAACAATATTAAATGTATGTCGTACACATAACAATATGAAAGAACAATGACAAAATTGCGAAAATTGTCTATGTGCTTGTCAAAATTATGTGATTTTGGTCCAAAAAAGTTTGGTGGTGCATCGGTCGTCCAATTTTGGATACTTTGTGTGATTTTGGTCCTTATAGTTAGCATTTTTGTTTGGTTTTGGTCTATACCCCACCTAAAATGACTAATATGCCCTTAAAATTGTTTTTTTCTATTTCTTTTAATTGAATTGTAATTCCTTTAATTAAAAAAAACGAAAAATATATAAATCACCCCACTTATCCCTATCTCTCTCTCTCTCATGACACACACACACACACACAAAGAACTCAACTTTTCAGATCAAACATTCACCCAAAAAAAAATCATCGGTGTTCTTCAATGCGTTCATCAACAAACTTTTCAGATCACACGAGCTCAAATCTCAAATCGATGCACCCCCTCATTCTCTCATAATCGCATGTACACTCCTTCTTGTTCTAGCTTCAATCGACAACAACCAAGACCCTCCCTTCCTTCTTTTCTGTTCTGATTCGATTCTTACCACACCTTCTTCGATTCAGATCGCTGGAGCTTAGGGATGGTGAGTCTGGTGGTGCTGATCGGATTTCTATGGTAAATCAAGAAGAGGTTAAGGGGTGTATTTCGTTTTTTTTTCTTTTTTATTAAACTCGATCACAACCCTTCTTCTTTCTCTATTCTGAATCAATCTTGTTTTCTTTATTTATTTATTTCTTTCTTTTTTTATCTTTATTATGGCAGATGTGTGTTGGCTTGCGGGTATGGTGAGTTATGGTGGTCCGGTGGTGTGTGATGTGGGTGGCGTTAGAGGTGATGTTCAGGCTGATGAACAGGGGAGAAGAATGTGAGGAAGGCTGATTAGAAGGAGTGATGACGGGATGGCTGTAATGGAGTTCAAGGTTAGTGGTGTATGGTGTTGATAGTACCGATTACGATCCAAAAGGAGATCACATCAAATCTGGAACTTGAATGATTAATCGTTAATCAAAATGAAGAATGAATGAGACATACAAACAAGATAGAAAAAAGGGAAAATTGAGTAATTTGAACCTTGACTTATAGTGTTCTTAAAAAATGGAGAACAACTTTGACCCTGACTTCATGGGCTTCTACCTTGATTTCTGATTTGCAGGTAACAGGGGATGGCGATGGTAGTGACTGTCAAGGGAGTGAGGAAGATGATAAAGCTTTGGGTGGATAAGGGCGTCGATCCATTTCTTTTCTGTGGGTTACACATGTGGAGCAGTGGAGAGAGAGAGAGAGAGAGAGAGAGAGAGAGAGAGAGAGAGAGAGAGAGAGAGAGAGAGAGAGAGATGCCTTTTTCTCAATTTTAATTAATGAAAAACATTTGAATAAATATAAAACAAATTTAAAAAAAAAACAAATATAAGGGTATAATAGTCTTTTTATGTTGATACAGACCAAAAACAATAGAAATATCCAATTTTGGACTAGTGGTGCACCAACATTTCGTTTTGGACCAAAAACACATAAATTTGCTAACCACAAGGACCATTTTTGTAATTTTGTCAATAAGAATGCTAACAAGATGTATGTTCTCTAAGAAAGATAATTAATATCAAGAGCTCTAGGTACATCACGTGCCCAATGGCTGAGTTTTGCAGAGTAAGATTCCATATTTAAAGTAAAACATAGTTGCTTTTTAACTAAATAATTAAAAAACCATGTCATAACCCTTCATTTTAAATTTTATAATTAGAACATCAGGGACAGTTTCATATCGACTCATTATTAGCAATTAACATATTTATGCATGGAATTATCATTCATAACCCATATAGCGTATCATTCAAAATTCCTAACCAATTAAACAGATTTAAAGCATAAAGGGTTGTATAGTTGTATCACTATTGAATTACTTTTAGGGTAAGCTATGTTAATCATCATTAACAGTTTAATGCAGACTCCTCCAAAAAGTAACTTAGATAGTGCAATGATTGTGAAACTCCATGCTTTGACAAATCATAAGGAAATGTAGAATCAATGTTTCAACTCAATCCAAAAAAAAACCTGATCGATCATGATTGTTACAGTCAGATGAAATAGTTTTGAGTTGGCTGCACCTTTGAAAATCAAACACTATCATTTTTGGAGACTGTATCACTTGTATTATATACTAGAACATCCACAACAGTAAGCAATACAGCTTATTTGTTAAACTTTAAGACATCTAAACGAGTAACTTATAAATCCAAAAAACTTATAAAAACTGGGTTTTTCATTAACTTATATATAAATCCCATCAATTTGCATTTGTATCATTTTTTATATATAAGTTGGCTATTTAACATTTGGTTGACAACCTATAAACCCACCAAAGTTGAAAAACGTATACCAAAAGCTTCTAAGAAAATAAGAGAGTATATCACTATAAAGAGTTAAAGACATTAAGGGTGCGTTTAGTTGTGGAAAAATGAGCCGTTTTCCGGAAAAATTTTCCAAGAAAAATGAGAATTTTAAAAACACGTTTAGTTCGTCTATTTTTTTAAATTTTTCATGGAAAATGAAAATTTTCCGTTTTCTAAAATTACAAAAAAGTTGGAAATTTTTGGAAAACCGATAATCATTGTTTTCCACAATTTTCTAATTCCAAATTTTTTCTAAAATATAAATACACACTCACTCCCACCTCATCCACATCTACCTAACATCGTCTTAACACCTCCAACCCACCACACCCCTACCTACCCACACTCACTCCCACCCCCACCCCCACAAATACACACACACACACACCAACCCCCACAAACACACATACACACACACACCCACAAACATACACACACACACCCACAAACACACACACACACACAAACACAAACACACACCCACCCCCACAAACACACACACACAAACACACACCCACACACCAACCCCCACAAACACACACACACACATATACACACACACACACACCCACCCCACCCCACAAACATAAACACACACACACACACATAACACCACTACCACAATCACCGACCTACCATCACCATCACCACCACCAACACCCCATCACTAGCACCACCACCGCCATCACCACCATTGCCACAATTGTCGCCACCACCACCACCACCATCTGTAATCACCACCACCGCCGCGACCGCCACCACCACCTTCGCCATCATCGACACCACCACTACCACCGCCCCCCCGCCGCTGCCCCCACCACCGCCACTGTCCCCACGCCCACCCTACCACTGCTACCGTTCTCTAAAAATAAAAACCGATAGAAAATACACATCTAAACACGTTTTCTAATATTCTAAAACTGAAAATGAAAAATGAATAAGTTTTAAGTAAACGCGTTTTCTAATTTTTCCAATGAAAACTGAAAACGGAAAGCGAAAACTGAAAAAGGAAAAAACAAAAAACGGAAAATGAAAACGGTTTTTCCGTAACTAAACGCAACCTAAGCTTTTCCCTTGATTTTTCAAATATAACATCATTGAAAAAAAAAACTAATATGTTACATATTTTTTTGTGTCGTCTCTATTGATAGGAAAACCTAAATGGTCCAAATCATGTGAATGTGATGTAAATTTTAGATTAGCTTGGATTAATCGCATCCACTTTTTGGAGTACAAGGATTGCTTGAAACCATCATGGGGGCGATACAATGCAATTTCCGGTGAACTCCTGATTCTCCGGCAATGATTGGGGGTTGGGGATTGATTTTGGTACTGATTTGATCGAGGTTGTGCGTGAATGTGGTGGTTGTCGATGCCAACAAATAAATACCTCAAATTCTTGCACATTAAATAGTGTATAATGGTAAAGTGATCGAATTTATGATGATTGGTTCAATTTGCAAACCTATGTAAATTTCTTTATAAAGACACTTGAAAACGACAATAAAACTAAAAATGAGGAATTTAGTCTTTTGGTTGTTTAAAAATCTAAGTTAAACCATGATTAGGAAATTACAATTAGAAGAGAAAATATTTGATTTAGATCAATAAATGTGAGATGGTTGATATTGGATTTCATTACAAGGATACATAACTAATTTATCATCAGGAGTTATGGTGCAATACTTATACTTAATCTAATTTGATCATAGTGACTTAAAAGCTTAAGTCACATAGACCCTTCTTAAATGATACAATAGCTAGATAAGCTCATAATATATTTCCTTAGTCAAAGTCACAAATCAAAGAAACATTTAATTTGTGAAAATCAACTAGCATTAAGGTTTAAGAGTCACAAAACCCAAAATGAAATCAAAATGCTTTCATTACCATTATAGAGGAAATACTTTCATGATTTAAGTGAAATGAACACAAACACATAAATCATTTATTTCTTGTTAATTTGAAGATTTGTTACTTAATCAAGAAATTAACCAACTAATTAATTAATATTCACACATCTAAACTCATGATTAAATACATATGAACATAAAAATATTTTACTAGAAAATACTTCGATAGATTTCAACTACAATTTCATAAACACATTCAAAACAACTAGTTATCCATGTATAATACTAACATCGACCAAGTATAAACATATGCTAACATGGCTAAGTTCAAACAAAAAAGAAATAGTTTAGAAATACCAAACATAAACAAGACGCAAAGAGATGAAGAATGATGTTCTTCAAGTGTTCTTCATGTTTTTCAAGTTCTCCAAAATCTCTGGAGAAAACACTCAAAATATAATCTAAAAAAGTGCCAAAAGAACCCTACCAACCTTCCACATATAGCAACCATAATTGGAAATTATAAAAATACCCATGTCGAGTTCACGCGGACAGGTACTCAAACTCGTGTGGATCGCGTAGGTTAAACTATCATGATTTGACTTCATGACGCAAGGCATTTTTCTCCAAGATTTTTCTTGTCATCTTCTATTTACTTCTCGTACTGTCTACATAAGCCCAAATGTCACATGAGATGAGTCCAAGCAAGCCTAAACTCCTATTCTAAACATCCACGACCAAAATGCTCAACAATTATTCAATAAACCATAAGCCCATTTTGCCATTTTTGCTTCCAACCTTCATTAGCCACCAAGTCCATGTGCATTATCTTCAAACCCATTAATGTTCCGTAATCCACAATCATTTTCGTTCCATGCTAGCCTTCTAAATATATGCAATAAAACACCAAAGACTATATGTAACGTCCCAAAATTATGAAGTAAAAATTTCATTTTTCATTTAACCAAAACATTAATTATCTTTAAGTCAACATTCAATATCTTTTTTTCCAATTATTCAAAAGTACTTTATCAGAAGACAGTTATCAGAGTACAATCCCAAAATCATCATAATGCGGAAACATGGGCGGATGCGCTGCGATCAAGCCAGACCCTTCCCTTTCGAACCGGAAGTACCTGAAAACATAACTATAAAACCGTAAGCACAAAGCTTAGTGAGTTCCCCAAACTACCACATACCATACATACATTTTCCATGGGCTACCCCCATGGTCTTTTCACTGAAATGTCATGGGCTACTCCCATGATCTAACATCCAAGTGTCATGGGCTACCCATGGTCTTTCCTTAAAATACCATGGGATGCCCCCATGGTCTGACATCCAAGTGTCATGGGCTACCCCCGCGGTCTTCCATACAAATGCCACGGGCTACCCCCGGGGTCTTTCAAGCAAGTAACACAAAGACAACTAGCATTCCACATAACAAGTAATGGGCCGGTATTGGTGCCTTCGACCTATGGATATGGTGAAAAGACTCACATTGTCGACAAAATCCACAGCTAACAGCTCACACCGCCTACGAACGAGTGTCATACACCTCCTAACAAACCATACAAGGTAAACCCTTAGTCCACCTTCTAAAACTAGAAATTTGACCAAAAGTCAACTCAACCAAAAGTTAACACTCAAAGTCAACGGTCAAAGTCAAAATCGACAGTCAACATTTCCATCAGTTGACACTCACGTCGTGACCAGTTCTTGGTCACCTCGTGAGAACACACTCGGCCAGATTCCAACTCAACTTGCTTCAACTCGGTCAACTCGGTCCCGAATGACACACTCAGCAGACCTCTCGACGTGAACCTTCCTTGGTCATTTTGTGAGCTCAGTCCGTCAAAACATGTTGGGTTATGAGCATTCTAACACTCCTAAGTGTACATGCAACCCTAAATACCTTGGATCTATGTTTTCTCTATTATACATACAATTATGAACATCCAAGGTATTATCCTAATCTA